GCAAAAACTGAGCCAGCCCTACACAAATCTGATGAGAGCCAGTGTGGTGTAGTGGTTAAGAGCGGTGGACTCGTAATCTGGGGAACCGGGTTCGCTTCCTTGCTCCTCCACATGCAGCTGCTGGGTGACCTTGGGCTAGTCACACTTCTCGGAAGTCTCTCAGCCTCATTCACCTCACAGAGTGTTTGTTGTGGGGGAGGAAGGGAAAGGAGAATGTTAGCCACTTTGAGACTCCTTCGGGTAGTGATAAAGCGGGATATCAAATCCAAACTCTTCTTCTTCTTCTAGAGTGGAGTCCTTAAGATGGTTGGATGGTGCCTTGTACACCTCCTTCCAGCAACTCCTGCAGCAAGCTGGTGCCAAAAGTATTGCTCTCCTTTCCTTTGGACCACATCAGTGAAGTCAAGAGAGGGGTCTTGTCGTCTGGGCATCCCAAGACCTCCATACACACTGCCCATGCTTGTGCACTTTGGTGCAGTAATTGTAATGTGCTAAATGCTGCATGGTTTCAGTCATGGTTCTTACTGCTGCTTTTCTGTCTTGCATCTATTTTATTGTAGTGCAACCTGCATTCCGCAGAAAGCAAATTGAAAGACAAGAAAATACAATATAAGAAATGAAATAACCATACAGCTAAATATCAATGGGAATGTTGAAGTGACCAGGCCATGGATCGCCTGAATGAAGCTTGTGGTCCACAGACCACAGTCTGGAACCCCTGTAACTAGGTGACTCAAGGCAGCTAGCAACATGTAAAATTTAAAAGCTATAAAAAGAGGAAAAATAAAATGCAACCAAAGCAGTAAAATAAAAGCAGCAGGAATATAATAAGAGCAGCAGCTGATAAAATCTCAGCAAACCTGCAGCAAAATTACCCAGCCTTCTTACTCGGCCAGCCACAATCCCTCCTGAAATAATCTTAATGTCCTTAGCTAGTTTGGTTTCCGTAGGAGGACATTCCACAGCAACTGGAAAAACATTTCCTTGTTCCCACCTGCTGCACTTGAGTTTAGGAACAGGATCTCTGATGCTGGACAAAGTTCACAGGAAGGCATATACATATATGGGATAAGGTGGGTCCTTCAAGCATCAGTCATGGGTTGTTTAGTGCTTAAGCATCAGCGCCCATAAGTGGCCCTGGAAATGAAGAGGAAGGCAACTGGGGGTGGGAGGGACAACAGCAGAGTTACATGCGTCAGCCCAGCCCCAGGCAACAGGCATTTTGAACCCGTTGAAGTTTCAGGACAACTTTCAAGGGCTGCCCTTACCCCCACAACTGACAGTATGTGGCTGAAAAGTGGCATTGCACATTAATGGCATGATATACTGGTAACCTGTGGGATGGCAGGTGGCACTGTGGGTTAAACCACAGAGCCTAGGACTTGCCAATCGGAAGGTCGGCAGTTCAAATCCCCACGAAGGGGTGAGCTCCCGTTACTCGGTCCCTGCTCCTGCCAACCAAGCAGTTCAAAAGCACCTCAAAGTGCAAGTAGATAAATAGGTACCACTCCGGCAGGAAGGTAAACGGTGTTTCCGTGCGCTGCTCTGGTTCGCCAGAAGCGGCTTAGTCATGCTGGCCACATGACCCAGAAGCTGTATGCCAGCTCCCTCAGCCAATAAAGCGAGATAGCGCCACAACCCAGAGTCAGCCACGACTGGACCTAATGGTGAGGATCCCTTTACCTTCACTTATACTGGTAACCTACCCAAGAAACTCCGGGAACGGGAAATTCTGACCAGCAGATATTGAACAGAGATAGAAACCAGCCCACCTGCAAGCAGGCTGATTTGCTGGACCTACTTGTATTTTTTTCACGCACTCACTACTTGTGGTTTGTCTCCATTGCCATGTGAGTTGCGTGACGAACTCCGTACATGCGAGGAAGCTGTTTGGAGAAGCAGAAGTGCTGCCAGATTTGGGCTGTGGAAGGAAGTTTGCCAAGAGGCACGTCTTTCTATTAACCAGCAGATATCTTGAACTGTGGGACTTGCATGCATGTAGCATATGCTTTCTTTCACAGCAACATTATCTTGGGCTGTTTTGTCTTTCACTGTTTGCATTCCAGCAACACAAGATCTGCCCTGCGGTGGAGTATGGAGCCGGATTCTGAGAGCAGACATTGCCTTGTGGCCGGAACTTCTAGTAAGCCCGAAGAGGAAAAAGCAGAGGATACTGAGAGCGGCATCAGTTGTGCCCTAGACGGAGGTGGGCCTCCTTTCAGGGAAAAGTGGGAGAATGTGGATCTGAAACCTGGCAGAGAAACCCCCAAGAAACAACTCTGTGGCTATTTAAACAAATTTTCTGCAAAAGCCCCAATCAAGACCTGGAAGTCGCGTTGGTTCGTCTACGATGAAAACAAATGCAACTTACTTTACTACAGGACAGCACAGGACATGAACCCTCTGGGGAGCATAGAGCTATCCAGCGCTAGCTTTGATCTTAAGGTGGGAGCGGAAGAGGGCGTTTTTGAAATCAGGACCCCCAGCAAAGCATTTATCCTTCAGGTACGTGGAACACATAGCTGGTTTGGGCTAGTGGTGGGGCAATGTGCATGTTGCGGCTGGCGGCATGCAATGGGACTTGCGCTCATGGGTGACCTAAACGGATCTTGGACAGGGATCTACCCTTTGTGCTCAACTGAAAGTATGGAAACAAAAGCAGACTAGCCGTACTAGTGTTGGTGGATAAATTATTTGGATTCCTTGTCCTGGAGACTCGATGCGCTTGGGGGTTTCCACAGAGCTGAAGCTGTGAATTTCCTGAATTAGCCTAGGACTTGCCGATCAGAAGGTCAGCGGTTCGAATCCCCGCAACGGGGTGAGCTCCCGTTGCTCGGTCCCTGCTCCTGCCAACCTAGCAGTTTGAAAGCACGTCAAAGTGCAAGTAGATAAATAGTTACCGCTCCGGCGGGAAGGTAAATGGTGTTTCCATGTGCTGCTCTGTTTCGCCAGAAGCGGCTTAGTCATGCTGGCCACATGACCCGGAAGCTGTACGCCAGCTCCCTTGGCCAATAAAGCGAGATGAGTGCAGCAACCCCAGAGTCGGCCACGACTGAACCTAATGGTCAGGGGTCCCTTTACCTTTACCTTTAGGACATGTTATAACCAGTGTTTTACTATTGTGTCCAAAGAACCGGGAGCATTTATATACAGGAGAGGTAAACATGTTATCCTCCATTTAACACACATTTTAACATCTCTATCACCATTGAGAAGCCAGCATTATCTTGGTGTAGTTTACACAGCTACATCCAATTGTAGCTGAATGTTCAGTTAACCAGAATCCCAATCTTCTCCTGTTCTGACATTTAATGGTTCTTGGCTGCAGACTCTTGGAGGACAAAAAATAATAAAATTAGCATGCAGAGCCAAGTTTAAATAATCCCTATTTTTTAATATTGGCAGAAGATAAAGGAGTTGGAACCTTCGGGTTGCATGAACTTCACAATTTTCTCTTCCCTTTACAAAATATCCTGATTCACGGTTTGAGAAGAAGAAAGCTCTTGTCTTCAGGAAATTGCCTTAAACATGATTTCCTAGTGAATTTTTTCTTAAAGCAGGAGACAACCCTAATAATTCATGGCAGTATCCTGACCTCCTGAGACCATTAGCATCCTCTGCCTCAAAGATTATTAAAACAATACAAGTATGTTACTTTTGCTGATTGTTGGTGGGGAAGACTTTCTTGTACGATATTATCATTTTAGACAGCACTCTCAGTATACATGGCATTTTACACTGGATGCATTTGTACATAACACTCGGCCATGGTTTGTTCAACAAATCACCAGTTGTCCTGCAGACGATTAAACAAGCCACAGTTTGTTTCCCAGCCACTCTTGCCTCATGCCTCTGTAGCTTGGCAAATGTCTGCGGTGGGCTGTCTTGATAAGCCATGGCTGAGCAGGGCTGTTAAGTTTGTAGTTAAAACAAGCCATTGTTCACGAGCTGCCAACAAGCCATGGCTTCAAATTGTGGTTTGTTACCAGAAAACAAACCATGGCTAGTCTGCTAGTCTGGGTTTGGATGTTCAGAAAAAAACACATGCCGAAACAAACCATGGATTACTGTTGTGTGCAGAGCAAGCTGTTGTTTCGTGAAAATCACACACACACACACAAAAGCAGATGCGGTAGACTGACCCACCTGCTAAAGGCTGAGGGAGCTAGATTTTTGTCAGTTCAAATGCCGGCCACGTCTTTTTGACAAGGGGTTCCTCAGTTTAGGCCCTAGTGGTTGATGATGGGAGATGGCACATCCACCGCACTGAATATTCATATTGAATTTTTAACTGTATTTTGATTGCTACTTTTATTTCTTTTCTTTTTTTTATTGTATTACAATTTGGATTTAGTGAATGCAACAAAATAGAATATATAAAAAGCCAAAGAAGCAATCAAAACACAATTTAAAAATCGTTCGGCGTCTAGCACAGAACATTACAATGGTTACAACAGGCAAAAAAACCATTAAGTACCGTATTTTTCACTCTATAGGAAAATGAAGGGGAAATGTGTGTGCGTCCTATGGAGCGAAGAAGCCATAGCCCCACGACCCTCTCCCGGCTGGAGAGATGGCGCGCGGCTATGGCAGGAGCCTCTTTAGCCGTGCACCACCTCTCCAGCCGGGAGAGCACATGCGCGGCTAAAGCAGCCCCCCGCGACCCTCTCCCAGCTGGAGAGGTGACGCGCGACTATGGCAGGAGCCTCTCCGCTGTGCGCCTTTCCCTGCTCCCCGACCTGCTCTTTGGGGCTGGTGGTGGACTTCCCCCTGCCAGCCCCAAAGAGCAGGTCGAAAGGAACCTGAAGCCTGGAGAGCGAGAGGGGTTGGTGGGCACTGACCCCTCTCGCTCTCCAGGCTTCCAAGGTAGCCGCCTGAAGGCAACTGAACGCACCTTAAATGGCACCTTGTTTTAGAGGGGGAAAACAAGAGTGAGAAAATTCTCCCCCTCTCTGCGCAGCACCTCCTGCCGCTTTGCTGAAGGGGCACTGGGCAGAGAGGGGGATAATTTTTTCTTCTTGTTTCCCCCCCTGTAAAACAAGGTGCGTCCTATTGTCCGGTGCGTCCTATAGAGCGAAAAATACGGTAAGCCTGCCAAAACTCAGCAATTTTCATGTGGTCCATGAGGCGGGAAGCTTGGAAGCCACTGCACTAGGCCTTGTGCTTGGACAGGGAAGCCAAACTTACACTGCGTCAAAACCTCCCCAATTATACTGGATTTTGGTAAGTCCATGGTCTGTTGTGATGAGGTTGGGTTTGTCGCTGAAGTCTATCTGTTGTGGAATTTAGCTGTATCTGTAGGCAACTCCCTGAGTTACACAGATCCTGTATTTAATAATTCCCCCCCCCCCAAATTGAACTGTAGGCTGTCGACAAACAGACCATGATATACTGGTTGCAGCAGTTGCAGATAAAACGCTGGGAGTTCTGTAGTAACCAGACTAGAAGTCCGGCAGAAGATGACACAGATTTCCCCTGTGTGAAGGACGCCACACTTAACAATAGTAAGTAGCAGCAGAGCAAATGTGTTGCCCCCCACCCCCACCCCTACCCCAGGGGACAGGATTATTTCGCCAGTGCTGGTTTAGTTGGTGCTGCATAAATTCGGTCATTTAGCAGGGCTTGGTCCTACAAATATTAATGCAAACAGAATTCTGATAGGGCTGAGACTTGTGAGAGTGTGTGTGTGTGTGTGTGTGTGTGAGAGAGAGAGAGAGAGAGAGAGTGCGCGCACGTGTGAGAGAATCTGCTTCCTCACTGCGCACAAATTGCACAACATCAGCCTAAGTGCTAAAGTAGGGTTTGCTAACTTCTTTTTAGTTTGAGGACAGCATTCACCCTAGGAAAACTCCCCAGTGGTGGCTGTAGCCCTAAGTGGTACATGCATAGCGCACACAAGACACAGCTTCCTCTCCTCAGCTGATTCATGCAGATCAGCTGAGGAGCTGCTCATCTTCTGATAAATGGGATGACCAGGGAGGGGCAGATTAGTATCCCTGTCAGGGTACTGGACTGGCAAAGAGGTTTATATCTCTTCACCCATGCTATCCCCATCTCTATCCTCACTGTCACTGCCAAAAATTGGTGGGGTCTGGGAACAAGGGCACAGAAAAAAATGCTTGGGTGACTGGATCAGGCCCCTGGGCTAGGGTGTATTAGTTGCCATGGGTGACTAAACACAGCAGGCCAACTCTCCAGCGGAGGACAACAAAAAAATGCAGGCAGATGTTCCATTAGGGGGGGAAATTCGGACAGTAGAACAATACCTTTTACTGGAGGCCACAATGTAGGGAGCAAGCTTTAGAGTTCAGCAGAACTCTTCATCAAGCTGGATGTTAGGCGAAACAGCACAAAAAAAGGAAGGAGAATATTCTGGCATGCCGAGAAACCGAAGTCTGTAATTTGGATGGACGGCTTTCTGGAATGGAGACAATGCTATGCAGACTTCAGCCCAAACCTTTATGTATCTACTCTGAAGTAAGCACCACAGAGTTTAATGCAACTGACATCTAGTTAAGTGTGTCTGTGTTCACATTGCTGCTGTGCTTGCTCTGCATCTAGCACACTCTCTCTGCTAATTTTTGAAGCTGCAGTCGCAGGTCGCAAACTACAATCCATATCGATCCTGTAGTATCTTAACAAATACTGCTGTTTTGTGTGTGTGTGTGTGTGTTAAACCGGCTTCAGTCCGATTAGAAAACTTGATGTGGAGTAAGTACTAATGTGAGCAACACCCTAACAGCCATTGCACAAGTGCAAATGATGATTTAGTGAACAGGAAAACCGGGGTGGGTGGGTTTGCAGGGATGGGGAAACCAAACAGGTCACCTGCATCAGGTGAAGACGTCCCTGCCCCATCTGTGATGCAAACAACTCCATGCAAATGTAGCTTGAAATTCTGCAGGGCACCGGCTGGGAAATGACCTCACTGCATTTTAAGCCGCAAATGTGGATAACATGCCCTCAGATTATAGCTGTGCCTTCTGCAAAACAAAAAAACAAACAGAAAACACCTCTGGACGCCATAAGAGGCATTGGCTCCTCTCGGTTTATAAACACGCCAGCAGTTATTTGGAAATATCAAAAGTAGAGGCCTCCAGGGTCTGCCTGCTCATTTCCAGTTCTGGACTTGCCTGGGCATGTGGGAATTTTTGAAGTTGACCACTCCACCCAGGCTAGCCTAGTTCTCCATAGCGGTTGCAGAAATGCTTCTTAAAAGTCAGCCAAAATGGGTATCTCATTTGCCCCAAATGGTTGGCAGTATTTGTGTAAGGGATGCGGGTGGCGCTTTGGGTAAAACCACAGAGCCTAGGACTTGCCGATCAGAAGGTCGGCGGTTCGAATCCCTGCGACGGGGTGAGCTCCCATTGCTCGGTCCCTGCTCCTGCCAACCTAGCAGTTTGAAAGCACACCAGTGCAAGTAGATAAATAGGTACCGCTCCAGCGGGAAGGTAAACGGCGTTTCCGTGCGCTGCTCTGGTTCGCCAGAAGCGGCTTGGTCATACTGGCCACATGACCCAGAAGCTGTACGCCGGCCCCCTCGGCCAATAAAGCGAGATGAGCGCCGCAACCCCAGAGTCGGCCATGACTGGACCTAATGGTCAGGGGTCCCTTTACCTTTACCTTATTTGTGTAACAGACAGCAGAGAATGCACTGGTAGCAGTTCTCTCTCCCTGCTGTGCTTGATGCACCTATAACTTTAGCTTGGGTGTGTCTGAATCCCATTGATTCAGCTGGTTTGTTTGTTTTTTCCCTCCATAGCAGAGGCAGAACATGAGTTTTTGCCCCCTGTGAAAACCCCCACAGATGTCGTCGGCCCGAAGGCAGCCTCTCTCCCAGCGCCTCTGCAGCCTTCTCACGCTCTTCAGAACATCTCCCTCAAGCATCCTTGGATTGAAATACAGTAACTGTTTTAATCTCTTTTTTTCGAATTTCTGGAAACTAGCTGTGTTAAGTCTGTTGCACCACTAGCAGCAGAGTCTTTCTGACATCTCGAGGACTAACAAATGCTCCTTTGTGTCCTGAGTTTTGAAAGGCGAGAGCCAAACAGATGGCCTGAAAGAGGAACCCTGCTGTAGGCATGGGTGTCGCTATAGAGGGGGAAGGTGTTGTTATGGAAGCTGACATTATACTTTTTTAAAAAAAGGCAAAATTATTAATATGCTTAAATGTGTATTTTAGCTTTATTAAATGAAAAAGGGAAAGGCTTGAAAGTGCACAACTTGCATTGATCAACTCTTGTAAGCATTTATGGCTCAATCACTATTTCAGTAAACTCACAGATGTTGCATAAGAACTTAAGGAAAGCTGTGCTGCATCCAGTCAAGGACCCCTCTAGCTAAACCATATTCCTGCATTGCAGGGGGTTGCACTAGGTCAGGGTTTCCTAAATTTGGGTCTCCAGCTCTTTTTGGACTACAACTCCCATCATCCCTAGCTGGTGGTCAGGAATGATGGGAATTGTAGTCCCAAAAAACCAGCAGGAGACCTCAGTTTGGGAAACTCTGGACTAAATGATCCTCAGGGTCCCTTCCAACACTACAAATCTCGGATTCTGTGTCCATGAAGGACTTGAAGAAAACATTGTGCTCCCCACCCAACAGCTGTTTCTCCCTAGCAACCAGGGAGAAACAAGGTTACTCAGAGGCAAAAATGTGGGGAAGTAAACATTGTGCAGGAGCAAAGAATTCCCCCATGAACCTTCCTCTTTGTTCATATTACATTCAAATAGAATATTTAGGCGCAACTGTAATGTTTGAGTTTTGTACGATTTTGTGCAGATTTCTCTGTTGCGCATATGCTTGTACCTCACTTGATCTCTTTACATATGATCAATATACACTTGATGACGTACTGCTGAATGTGTGAAGCAGCTCCAGGAAGTGACATTGTACAGTGGTACCTCGGGTTACATACGCTTCAGGTTACAGACTCTGCTAACCCAGAAATAGTGCTTCAGGTTATGCACTTTGCTTCAGGATGAGAACAGAAATTGTGCTCCGGCGGCGCAGCAGCAGCAAGAGGCCCCATTAGCTAAAGTGGTGTTTCAGGTTAAGAACAGTTTCAGGTTAAGTACGGACCTCCGGAACGAATTAAGTACTTAACCTGAGGTACCACTGTATTTGAAGAATGATGATACAGTCATCAGATGACGAGCATGTATGAACCCGGCCCTAAGTGAGTCGAAGTCCTGTGAGTTTGCAACAGCTGGGAGCAATGGCTACTAAATGAAAAAACCGTCCGAAGTCACTAGGAAACGACTGGATGTTGTTGCAGGAAGATGTTGCATTGTGGCACGAGTGTACAGAAACAGCATTTAAGCGTTATTAATTCACAGGTTCTGTCTAACCATTCCGATGCGCTTCTGTGCTTCTAGGAACAGAGTACATAATCTTTATGGTAGCTGGCAGAGCCGGAGGGACAATGGTGGCATGTCTTGTTTTGAGGGAATCCAAGATGACCTTGAAAACGCAGCCGATGAAGAGCAGGCAGAAACTGAAGCAGAAGATGCAGGTACTTATTTCTGCACGATGGTGAGGACATTTGAAAATAGCATTGTTTACTTGTTAGTCTCAGGGCCGGATTTAGATTTGATGAGGCCCTAAGCCACTGAAGAGGGACGCGGGTGGCGCTGTGGGTTAAACCACAGAGCCTAGGACTTGCCGATCAGAAGGTCGGCAGTTCGAATCCCCGCGACAGGGTGAGCTCCCATTGAGGAGATTCCAAGAATCTGCTGATGTTCTCTGCTGATTCTCCAGAGAGGAGGGGGGTGGTTTCTGCTCACTACTTATTCCTCTCCATCCTCACATCAAGAGAGAGACTGAGTGTTAGAGAGAGTGTTATCTCTGTATAGATAAGGTTGCTGCTAAGAGCAGCTGCTGACACTCAGTGCAGTTCAACTTCTCCATTTAGCTCTGTATATAGTTTGTATGATAGTTGTAGATAGAATAAAAGTGGTTATTCTACAGAGCTGTTCTCCAAGTGGTTTGTGCTCTGCTGTGCTCTGCTTTGCAACGACTGTCTTCAGGAGTGAATCTGGTGCCCACAGCTCTGAGTTGTGAGTCCACAGCACTTAGACCTGTTCCTGTGCGGAAGGTGGTCTCTGGAAGTGCTACCCAGCTCGCCTGCCCAGTTGGGCTGAAGTGGATGAGTCCAGTCGGTGGCACTGGCTCAAGGGCGATGCTGACACCCATTGCTGGGTCCCTGCTCCTGCCAACCTAGCAGTTCGAAAGCACCTCAAGGCGCAAGCAGATAAATAGGTACCGCTCTGGCGGGAAGGTAAACGGTGTTTCCGTGCACTGCTCTGGTTCGCCAGAAGCGGCTTAGTCATGCTGGCCACATGACCCAGAAGCTTTACACCAGCTCCCTCGGCCAATAAAGCGAGATGAGCGTCGCAACCCCAGAGTCGGCCACAACTGGACCTAATGGTCAGGGGTCCCTTTACCTTTTAAGCCACTGAAGGTAATGGGGCCCTTTATATGTCCAGCTGTCCTTTGTCAACAACAAATTGTCGCTTTTTTGTGTTGAATATGTTGAATGGTAATTTATGGACCTAATAGGTACCTAAAGCCATTTGCCCATGCGGAATGTAGGCACCCTGTATATAGAAATGAGCAAACCAGTGATATTTTAGGGAGCAGGCTAGCAGGCGGGACCCATGACTTACATCATAGGAGCCTACACAACACAAAACACTGTTGCTGTTTTATTTTATTTGTTTTTTATCTTATATTTTGGAAATGTACACCCAGTTTTTTTCCCCTTTAAATTTTTTTTGGGGGGGGCCAAGAAAGTGGGGCCATAAGCTATAGCTTGTTTAGCTTATACATTAATCCGACACTGGTTATTCTGCACAGCTGTGAGGGAGAAACTGGGAAAAGTGAGCACAAAAGCCTTCATTGAAGCCTCTGGGATTTATTCTGAGTAAATATCAGGGTTTAATTAAGCATTTCTAGGTAACCTGGGCATAGACCCATGGTAGCACAAACTTGCAAAAACATTTGCACATGCTAAGATGCACCTATAGATGCAAATGTCCAACTTTCAGATGGGGGGGCGGGGGACCTCTGACTCGAATTTCTATAATACCTTGCTGTGTGAATTCTGGGCCCAGTATGCAGTACAGTGGTACCTTGGTACTCAAATGCCTTAGTTCCCAAACGCCGAAAACCTGGAAGTAAGTGTTCCGGTTTTCAAACATTTTTCAGAAGCCAAACAGCCCATGCAGCTGTCGGCTATTGTTTCTGGGGCACCTGCACCAATCAGAAGCTGCGAATTGGTTTTCGAACATTTCGGAAGTCTAACGGACTTCCAGAATGGATTAAGTTTGGCGCTTTTGTTTTGCTATTTTGCATTTTTGTTTTTGAGGCTTTTTTGGTTAATTTGTTTTTGTGACTGTGTGGAATCCAGTTCAGCTACTGATTGGTTGTGTGACTGCGGAAATGGATAAAAGCCACCTATCCAAACAATGACTATCATCAGTCTGGGTAAAAAAAAATAAAAAATAAAATTTCTCATCTACAATACTGTCTTATTTATTTTATAGTAAATATTATATTATATTATATTATATTATATTATATTATATTATATTATATTATATTATATTATATTATATTACTAAGTATTATAGTAACAGCAACTGATTATTGCTTTCAAGTTATGGATCAGTGGCCTTGTTCAATAGTAAAATTCATGTTAAATTGCTGTTTTAGGGGTTGTTTTTAAAAGTCTGGAACGGATTAATCCATTTTGCATTACTTTCTATGGGAAAGCGTGTCTTGGTTTTGGAACGCTTTGGTTTTGGAACAGACTTCCAGAACGGATTAAATTTGAGAACCAAGGTACCACTGTACTGGATTTTCTAGACCCAGAATGCATGGATCGGGCCCTTCTTCCTACCTCCAGTCTGCTGGCGAGAAGTGCTGCTTATGTACTCATTAGAAGTAAAACAAGCCTTGTCTAATATCGAACATTGCTTTCTCTTTCACTCAAATTTTGTCCATCTAGCCATTTCTCACTCACTCACCCACCTCATCTTGCTATTGCAAATACACACAAGTTGCCAGTCAATACCACCCACATAGGAATAACGGTAACCACAGATCAAAACAATCTGTGCCACCACTGGAAAGCAGGAATGTGTCCTATGTTATTTTCTTCCTCAGGCGCAACAGAGATGCAGAAGGATCCAAAGTCAAGGCTAAAACCACCTTTGGTTAGAAAAGACAAAAAGGAAAGCAGGAGCTTGCGTTGTTTTGCTGAAGGGGCAAGAGATGGGAGAACAGCTTCTCTTCAGCACCAAATTTTGGTCCTTGAAGAGGATGTCAAAGCTCAGAAGGTAATCCTGCCCTGACATGTGTGTTTGGTATGGATGGAGTCACCATACCATTTTGATCTATGGGGAAGTGTGTTTACCGTATTTTTCACTCTATAAGACGCACCAGACAACAAGACGCACCTAGTTTTTGGAGGAGGAAAACAAGAAAAATATTCTGAATCTCAGAAGCCAGAACATCAAGAGGGATTGCTGCACAGTGAAAGCAGCAATCCCTCTTGCTGTTCTGGCTTCTGGGATAGCTGTGCAGCCTGCATTCGCTCCATAAGACGCACACACATTTCCCCTTACTTTTTAGGAGGGAAAAAGTGATTCTTATAGAGCAAAAAATACAGTAATTGCCTTTTGATCTTGACACAATATTGTACAAGAAAGGTGTGTTCCTGCCTCATGCATTACTGTTGTTGGCAAGAGAAGAACAGGACCAAACATGTGCTGTCTGGGGCTGATGAGAGCTGTCGTCCGAAACATCTGGAGGGGACCATGTTGGCGAACGCTGCATTAGAAGGTATTATGAAAGGAAACACACCCATCTTCTCTTCTAGCATCTAAATACTGTGCCCCAAGTCCAGATTCTAATTTGCCTTTTTTTCTGGGCTCTGGTAGAAGGGTCATTCTAGAGCTATAGTGTGTTTCCTCTTTACTAGGTTGTGGTAGAGCGATGGTTGTGGAACCAAGGTTGGAAAATGGTTGGAATACTTGTGTGGTTGTGCCCAGGTACTGGAGAACTGTTCAGAGTTACAGCTAAGAGGGATACTGCCAGTATAGCTTGAAGAACATGAGCCAACAGTGTGATGCGGCAGCTAAAAAAGCCAATGCAATTCTGGGCTGCATCAATAGGAGTATAGCATCTAGATCAAGGGAAGTAATAGTGCCACTGTATTCTGCTCTGGTCAAACCTCACCTGGAGTACTGTGTCCAGTTCTGGGCACCACAGTTCAAGAAGGACACTGACAAACTGGAACGTGTCCAGAGGAAGGCAACCAAAATGGTCAAAGGCCTGGAAACGATGCCTTATGAGGAACGGCTAAGGGAGCTGGGCATGTTTAGCCTGGAGAAGAGGAGGTTAAGGGGTGATATGATAGCCATGTTCAAATATATAAAAGGATGTCATATAGAGGAGGGAGAAAGGTTGCTTTTCTGCTGCTCCAGAGAAGCGGACAGGGAGCAATGGATCCAAACTACAAGAAAGAAGATTCCACCTAAACATTAGGAAGAACTTCCTGACAGTAAGAGCTGTTCGACAGTGGAATTTGCTGCCAAGGAGTGTGGTGGAGTCTCCTTCTTTGGAGGTCTTTAAGCAGAGGCTTGACAACCATATGTCAGGAGTGCTCTGATGGTGTTTCCTGCTTGGCAGGGGGTTGGACTCCATGGCCCTTGTGGTCTCTTCCAACTCTATGATTCTATGATTCTATGAACCGATTTCTCTCTAGTAACTCACAGAGGCACCATGCTACACAGTAGGTCACAGACTGAGTGATTGCATCAGCCTGTGATACAGACTCCCCGCTGAAAACTGCATTTCCTGTGCAACTGCCGAAGGACAACGTTGTTCCTTATATTTTGGAGGAAAACTGAAGTTAGAACATCTAAGCTGTTATGAAATACAAGCTGATTCTCTAACGGTGCTCTTAGGTTTTTTTCATGGTGAGGCTGTCAAATGGTTTCTAAAATAAGTTGGATTCTCGGAGGAACAAAAATCTGATTGTTTTATGGAAGACTGGTGGCGGCCATATTTGGTATCAAAGTCTTGCCAATTAAAACATGATTATACAGCTGAAGTTTTAAAAAACACACACTAAGAAAACACTTTTCTTATACATTTCATTTAAACTGGTAAATTATTCAGCGTCTTAATTCGAATTATGATTTTTATCATTTTGTTGCAGGATCAATGTAAATTTAACTAGCCTGTAGTTATCGCCTCATTTGTGCTTCTAGAATATCGGCACAGCATCAACTCTCTGAATCTTGGGGATTTCCTCCAGAGCTGTATCTGAAGATCATTGTGGCTTACTGTCCTCACTAATTATAGTTGGAATGGAAAATTAGCTCATCCTCATATGATAGAAATGCATCATTCTTTGTTCCTTTCCAGATACAGAAATGTATGTTTGATCACTTTGGAATCCTGCGCTTCCTCCAAGTTGTTCAGAGTATGACTTATAAAGCTGCCTTTAGAAAATTAATGGTTCCTGTTATGTACCAAAGTTCTCACCCTGGGCCAGCAGGGGATACTGTAGATAGTTATGCAAATGAAGGCTCGAAAGTGACGTTCAGTGATTGGCTAGTTTCAGAAAATGGTTACTGTTGCATTCTAGTGGAGCTCTATATAAGCAGGCTGGCTGAGCTCCTCAGCTCAGTTCTGTTCCAGCTTACAAATAAAGAGCTGCTTTGGAAGAATCGCTGTGTCGTCTGATATGTTCGCCCACAACTTAACAGTTCTCCCCCCCCCCATGTTTACTTTTACAGGAACTGGTTAAGCTTCTCCACAAAGCCCTGGAGGCAGCCCAGCAAGAGAAACGAGAGTCCTGCAGGTACTTGGTCACAGCAAAGGAGGAGGATAGGCTGGAGCTGGTGAGGCACAAAGTGAGGCAGATTGCCGAGCTGAATAAACAGGTTGAAGCGCTGGAGATGGAGAAGAAGGAGCTGGAGCAGGGCCTGGCTTTGAAGGACGAGCACATCGGGGAGCTGAAGGCCCACGTGCAGCTCCTGATGGACAAAAACCAGGCCAAGCAACAAGTCATCCTGAAGCTGACGGAGCAACTCGCCAGAGACATGCCTGACTCTGTTGGGGAGGCAGACGCCATTCCCATGGAGACCTTGTACAAGCAGCAGGAAGAGATCGAACATCTGAAGGTACTCTGAGCCAAATGGTGCAATGGCAGGGCCGGCCCTACCTTTGGGCAGAGCCTTGGGGAGCAAATGTGTTGGGGGCGGCACAACAGTAAATGCCCCCAGGCAAATGCCTCTTTAGTCCCCTATCCCTTGTCTGTTGCTGCACAAGCTGTCCTGGGGCCCCTTATCTGTCCTGATGATTCAGGTACTATCCCATCCCTGGCGTTGAAGGAAAAATTAACTGCTAGTCTCGTCAGCTTCCGTACCTGGGAGGGGGCACCATCTCTGGTGGCAAAATGCTTTGGCCTGGGTACAGGAGGAGGTGACGATTATGACCTCACTCCTTCCACAGTTGCACCTTGGTGATATGTTATCTCATCGTTCTATACCTCTGTTTTATTTTTGTGGCAAGTCTGTGTGCACCACGATACCATAGCAGCTCCTTTAAGAAACAGCCCGGAATATGATATTGAGCAGAGGATTCAGTCTCCTTTAAAAAAAAAAAAAATCACGGCGCTCCTTCATCCCAAAGGAGCCCTCAACATCTGGAGTGCACCAGGTTGGAGATGTAATGTTTTCTATCTGTCTGCAAAATAGGACTTTCTGTTGCTTTTTGTCACCAATGCCCTTGGCCTGTTTGAGGAGCCATGGAAAGAGTCCAACAACAACACAGCTTGCCCCCATCTTTCTGTCAGACACCATTTGCCCATTCATAAACCCAACAAATTTCTTGGGTGTACAAATTACAGTTGTGCCAACAGGTTATTTCTACATATTTTGTCTTTTTGTCAGGATGACTTAGAAGCGTACAAGATTCAGAACCAATTTCTGAACTGCGAAATCCACCAGGTTACGAAAATCTGGAGCACGGTAGCTCAGAAAGAGAAGACCCTACTGATGAAGGTAAAAAGCAAAGTCTTTTTAAAAGTCCAGTGTTTGTGCTTTAGGCCCCATCTGCACTATACATCTACTGTATAACAGTATTATACCACTTTAAAACAGCTACAGCTTTCCCCCAAAGAACTGTAGTTTGTTGAAAGTGCTGATAATTTTTAGGAGACCCCTATTCCTCTCCCTTCGCATAGCTATGATTCCCAGAGTTCCCTGGGAAGAGGGAACCACTCTGAGAATTCCCAGAATTTGGGGGTGAGAGGGGAGTCAAGGTGCTTTAAATGTGTGTTGAATGTGAGGTGTGGATCTTTGTGTTGGTTCTCTGTTGTGTTTGCCTGTGATGCTCTCCAGCTTTCTAGGAGCCAACCTCAGCTGTCTGACCTTAGGTTGCTTGTGGCTACTTCTGAGCGTAACACAACAACAGGAAGCCACGGCCATATTCTGACTGCAACACTTTTTTAAATTCCAGTGTGCTCGTCTGCAAGCCCACAACTGCCAGATTGAGAGCAAGTACCTGATGATTCTGCGGAAGCTGCAAGGCCTACCGGACTTTGCCAGTGAACATGTGGAAATGCTGAAGGGCCTTATCCAGGAAGCACTTCAGTGGGGTGTGAAGGAGGAAGCCATGATCCCTGTACATCTGAGCCCAATCAAGTAATGGCTGTGTGTGTGTGTGTGTTTAAAATAGATGCAGCGCTCTTTTATTTTCACCAGGCTCTCGCTGTTTCTGGAATATGATGGGTCTGATTCATCAGACAATCCTTATATTCTTACTGTCCGTGAGCTGTCATTGGCAGATTATCAGATAAAGCTTTATTTGATAATCCTATTTTTAATCCACAAAGGCACATTTTCACTTGTGGGGCTGCGAGGTGAGGGTAGACTCGCTTACATTATGAGGTTACCTTTGATTTTGGTGTGTTACTGTAGCAGAGAAAGGCAAAAGAAAATATGAGCTGGTTTTTCCTTCAGTCAGTGGTAGCATTTTATATCATTCTTAAACTGTACATTATCTTACTTTTTTATTGTCAAAAAGGCACCTACATTAAGATCTTTGGCAAGATACATTTTTAAAAATAATAATTGTTATTAGAAAGTTTACAAACTTTTCTTTAATTAATTTGACAGTTCTAGAACTTGATGTTTTCCCCATATTCTTCTGTTTTCACCATTCAGCCAGTACGATGACTATGGGTTTATGACAATTCCTGAGTACGAAGCTGCGGACTGGAAGCTTCTGGCAAAAATCCAGGCTCTGGAGATCAAATCCAGTAATCTCCTGAACCAGGATGCCATGGAGGAAACTCTCTCTGACCGGTGGAATAATCTTGGGGAACTAACTCCCTCCTCAGAGCTAAAGAGCTTGCTGCGCTGTGGCGTCCCAATAGAGCACCGCCAACGAGTGTGGAGATGGATTGTGAGCAGGCGGGTGCAGCACGTTCGCTCTCCAGGCCATTACCAAAACTTGCTCCAGAAGTGTGAAGCCGCTGAGCACCCAGCTTCCCGACAGATTGAACTGGATCTGCCTCGCACGCTCACCAACAACAGGCACTTCAATCCACCCGCTTCCCAGCTTCTTCCCAAACTCCGAAGGATTTTGCTTGCATTCTCTCTGCAAAATCCCACCATTGGCTATTGCCAGGGACTGAACAGGTAAAGGGTGCTAGCTCATTGCTGACCTTTTTAAACTCTATGTTTGCAACAAATATTAGGGTCAGTAAAAATAATAATTTACAGTGGTATAATAATAATTTACAGTGGTACCTTGTTACTTGAATGGTGTGGCTCCCGAACAAATCAGCTCCTAAATGCCGCAAACGCAGAAGTGAGTGTTCTGGTTTGCAAACGTTTTTTGGAAGCCAAACGTCCAACGTGGCTTCCAATTGAGTGCAGGAAGCTCCTGCAGCCAACTGGAAGCCACGCCTTGGTTTTTGAACCATTTCGGGAGTCGAATGGACTCCCAGAACAGATTAAGTTCAAGAACCAAGATACCACTGTAGTGTTGTTGTTGTTGTTGTTCTTGTTCTTGTTCTTGTTGTTATTATTTAATTGAATTTGTATACCGCCCTATACCCGGAGGTCTCAGGGTAGTCCACAGAACAAGATCAACATAAAAACCAAAATATATAGTATCAAAATAAAATCAACCCACTAACACACCCATCTGACCAGATTGCCCCAGCCACTCTGGGTAGCTCCCAACACAATATTAAAAACACACTAAAACACCAAACATTTAAAACTTCCCTTTCCAATCTAAGTATAATGTGAAAAATTAGTCATGAGATGTATTTGACAATGACTCCAGCTGGAACTGCTGTGTTGTGAAAAAGCTATAGGCGTACATGAAACCATTCAAACAGCCAAATGTTTTCTTGTGCCTGTTTGCACTTGTGCTGCTGAAAAGATGAGCTGCTCTTACTCAAAGGTTGCCAACCTTTTTTTGGGCCCAGGGGCCATGGTCATATTGGGAATGTTGAGAGAGTATCATGGTCACCAGTGAGAAAATGGCTGCCTTGGAGCGTGTGGCATAACGCAAAATGGCTGCTGCATCTGAAAGAGAGACTGAGAACGAAATGATGTGGGCACTGCTGCCACCACGCTGCCCCGCCAACTACCCACAGTCAATGGGGGAAAGGCACTCACCTCAGCTTACTCTGCCCTCACTTGTCGAGAGAAGCTATTTGTATCCCTCCTCTGTTCAGAACAGGTGTGTTTCCAATCTTGGCTACCAGTGAAATATGTGCATGCAGCATGTTTAAGAGAGTTGTGTTCAGTGCAGGAAAAGCCAGTGCAAACAGAAACTGACCAGGAAGATCAGTCAGTCTCTTGTGTGCTGTAGCTTTTTGAAGGAATATTTACTGAGACCTTTCAAAGACACCATAGAAAGAACCGCCAGGGCACCATAGTAAGAACTGGCAGCTACTATGGCACCTTACATTAACAAGTGGGCTACCTATTTACCACATGTAGTGTTAAGTTTCAGAAGAAACTTCCTGCTTCTTCGCCATTTTCCTCTTGTGGGAATTTTCCAGCTTGAAGGACCGTAGCTGTAAGAACTGCCTGCCATTATTGCCTGCTTTCCTTAACAGTGATGTCTCTTTATTCGTTCCAGATTGGCAGCCATTGCACTACTGGTTCTAGAGGAAGAGGAAATAGCTTTCTGGTGCCTAGTTCATATCACTGAAAACCTAATGCCTCCAGATTATTATAGCAACACACTAATAGGCTCACAAGTAAGTCTGGGACTCCCCACCAAGCCGTACAATAGGATAGTCATGGGTGAAAGAAAAACGGGTTGTTTTAAAAGGATTGCATATCCTTATGATGGAAGCGGTGCTTCTAGAGGAAAAATTCCAACACACTTCACATAGGTGTTGGCACAGGCCTGGCTTACATCGTTCTGCGATTCATATTAAACTAGGCAGTTGATTACTTAACAAAATAATGGAACTTCACGCCTAATCCAGTGGTTTGCATGATGTCAAGAATCAAACTGTCCTTAAAACTAATTAATTTCTTCTTCACTGTGGCCTAATTTGGACATAATGCAAAGTTTGGCATAAAGTTACACACAAACCATTCAATTGTAGCTCATACCAATGTGATCATCAGTACCATGGGATCCTAGGATTACCTGTTTTTTAAAGGGTTTTTTTTTAGGGGGGAGTGCAAAAAACCCCTTTTGGTATCACAGAAGGAACCTATGGGAGAGTCAGTAACACCCACACACTTAAGAAAAAAATGACCAAAGGGAGCGGGGTTTGGAGGGCCACACACACACACAAAAATCATTTTGTAATCACAATACAGTGGTGCCTCGCAAGACGAAATTAATTCGTTCCGCGAGTTTGTCGTCTTGCGATTTTTTCGTCTTGCGAAGCACGGTGTCAGAAAAGTTTTGGAAAAGCTTCAAAAATCACCAAAGTCTTCAAAAACCTCAAAAAAGGCTACCACACCGCGTGCTATGAGTTGCTCCTCAAAGTCAAGTCGCAACTGTATTAACGGTTTTAAGAAGAAGGAAACAAACTTGCAAGACGTTTCCGTCTTGCGAAGCAACTGAAAATCTGTCGCGAAGCAACTCAAAAAACAAAACCCTTTCGTCTTTGCGATTTTCCGGTTGCGAGCATCGGCTCGAGGTTTGTATAGAGGGGAAGCTTGAACACATATTGTGCAACGTCGTTGTCTGCATCACTTGCAGAAAGGTTACATCTTGTGTGGATCCCTATAACGTGCTACTGTGCCGCGATCGGAAAGTTTTGAATTTTGGTTAGATCGGTCAGTGTTTACGAGTACAATTAACCCCTGCGGATTTTGGAGGACTCTGAGAAAGTGCTGATAAAGCATCCTTTCAAATACGGTTATTGGTTCTTATTGATGTTTTGCTGAATCCAGGTGGATCAAAGAGTCTTTAAAGATTTCTTGTCAGAGAAGCTTCCCAGGCTGGCAGCTCATCTGGAGCAGCACCGAATCGACTTGGCCTGGTGACCTTCAATTGGTTCTTGGTTGTATTTGTAGACAGTCTTGTTAGCGATATCCTCTTCAGGGTTTGGGATGCCTTTCTCTATGAAGGTACAAAGGTAAGAGTATCCCTGCCTCCTATCCCTTCTACATTCTCACTTCATATATCAGTCTCTGCAGAGATGTTTTAGCAACCAGGCATTTAGGACAAGCTTCCGATGTGTCTATTGAACCTGTTTCTTGCTGCCTCAGTGATGTTACCTTTATCATCTGTGTGGCTCTGACTCCATCCCTCCTATGACATCCCCGTCAGCCATGTTTTTCTTTGTCCCAGGTGATATTCCGTTACGCTCTGGCAATATTTAAATACAACGAAGAAGCGATACTGAGGATCCAGGACAGCCTGGAAATTTACCAGTACATGCGTTTTTTCACCAAAACCATCTGTGATGGCAGGTAAGGATGACATCAGGAAGTGGTTGTCAGGTGACTGTCATTCAGAGAACTGGAAAAATTCAAAAACTGGGATTGAGGCAGGCACAGATCAGGAATAAGCAATAGCAAGAGACTGATTTATAAAACCCCTGCTTACAAATGGAACACACTTGAACAGGGCGGAAAGGGTGAAATGGCTGCTGAGTGATACTGATGACTTTGTAACTTATAAAGTAGCACTATATGTGTTGGCAGCTAAGAAGATCAGGAGAAAAGAACTAGATAAAATAGCGGTGAATTGCAAAGGTGATTCGGATATTTAAGCTGGCACATTCTATCTGAGAACCCCCTGCTATTATATCGTATGCAACAAATAATTTCTAGGAGATGTGACCGTGGTTCATTGTATTCACAGTCCCTGATGTTTTTATGGTTTTTATGGTTATTGTTGTCTTTCTTTTTGTTTCCTTTGCGAATGATGCCATGGCCTTTGGCTAGTGCAATAAAGTTGTTGTTGATGATGATGAATAGCATTGACGCCATGTTTTATCTGAGGCAAATCAGAAGCCAGGAACCAAGCCAAGTACAGCTAGATTAGGGCTAAAGTGAAACCTTTTTCTCTCACACACAGAGACATGCTGGAGCCATTTCCCTCATACTGATGTGCAACACTGCATATGAGGTGCTGATCAGATGGGGAAATGTTCACACTCCAGTTGTGTGGGGGCAGCACCACAGGGAAGTGGCTTCCACATGATGCGGTGTGTGAAAATAATGCCTGAGGCAACACTGAAACAATACTCCTTTAAAAGCATACACCCTTATATATACCCTTGGGCTCTGAGGTGAATCCTGCCTCTTCTTGAACGTGTTTGCCTGTGTATTTGATAGTTTGATTGATCACCGGCAAATATAACCTGCACATCTAAAACATAGGTCCATGTTATTGTATATAATAATCCTTTATTCCAGGAAATCCTGGGGTTCGTCGGAAAGCTTATCAGGAGTGTTTAATGAGCAGATCAGTAATGGTTGACCAGTTTTCCTGAAGGACAGATGTCCTGCTAAAACTCATTTTCCCTCTGTAATGCTTAGCCTCTGGGTTGTATTGGGTGTGTTCTAGATTGCATTCTCCTTTCACAGAAGGTGGCAGACCGGGCCGGCCCTACCATTAGGCATAGTAAGGCTGATACCTCAAGCTGAGGTTTCTGGGGGGTCAGGGCACCTGTGAAGTACTCGAAAACAGAGCTGTGTGAACCCCATGGCCGGATTTAGGTTTGATGAGGCCCTAAGCTACTGAAGGTAATGGGGCCCTTTATATGTGATAGTTTAGGGAGAGGGCTAGCAGGCGGGGCTTACATCATAGGAGCCCACACAACACAAAACACTGTTGCTGTATGTAGGTTTTATTTTATTTGTTTGTTATCTTATATTTTGGAAATGTACATCCAGTTTTTTTCCTTTAATTTTTTTCAGGGGCCCCCAGGAGAGTGGGGCCCTAAGCTATAGCTTGTTTAAGGTAAAGGTAAAGGTACCCCTGCCCGTACGGGCCAGTCTTGACAGACTCCAGGGTTGTGCGCCCATCTCACTCTATAGGCCGGGGGCCAGCGCTGTCCGCAGACACTTCCGGGTCACGTGGCCAGCGTGACAAGCTGCATCTGGCGAGCCAGCGCAGCACACGGAAACGCCGTTTACCTTCCCGCTAGTAAGCGGTCCCTATTTATCTACTTGCACCCGGGGGTGCTTTCGAACTGCTAGGTTGGTAGGCGCTGGGACCGAGCGACGGGAGCGCACCCCGCCGCGGGGATTCGAACCGCCGACCTTTCGATCGGCAAGCCCTAGGCGCTGAGGCTTTTACCCACGGCGCCACCCGCGTCCCATAGCTTGTTCAGCTTATACATAAATCCGGCACTGCCTATAGCCTGCCTTGTTCCCCTAAATGAGCCTTAGGAGCAGTGGAGGATGTTGTCCCATTGCCAGTGTTTAAGAATCCACCTCAAATCCAGTACATAAAAGGAGCAACATTTTGACCATGACTTCAGACAATAAAATTACTTGGGGCAGCCCTGTAATTTAGTCCAGTAGACTTGGCCTTGTGCTCACCCTAAAACATTCCCCAGAATCTTCTGTAATGAAGAGAGGTTCCTTCCTTAGCAGAAAAAGAATTGTGGAAAATACCAGTAGTAAATTTTGAAATACTGTTTTAGAACAGTGGTGCAGAGAACCAGTAAATTGGTCTGGCACAGAGCTGCATCTAAGGGTGTTCCTAATCTTATGTGGCCTGAAATATGAGGGCCCGGTGCAGAGAAGACCCAGAGCTTTGATCCCTGGCTGACAGTTTCTGTCTCTGGAAGACAAACCTCTTTCAGAAATCCTGCCACATTTTTGTGAGGGAAGCCAAAAGAGCATGTAGAATTCCCACAAGTCTCTCTTCAATGTCTACTTAGTCCAAGCTACCGTTAAAAATTCTGGCTCATATGCTTGCCCTCTTCCAGGAAGCTGATGAACATCGCCTTCAGTGACATGAACCCATTTCCCATGAAAGTTTTACAAAATCGGCGCCGAGTGTACAGGTTAAAACTGGAGTCTGAGATGAGAGAACTGGAGCAGATAAAAGTCGAGTACATGAAGGAACAGGCAGAACATGCTGCCAGCAACTCGAATGGAGCCGTGAGTGAGGATGAAGAAGATATGTAACTCCAGTTTCCTCCTCACAGCTGGCCTTCAAACATAAATTTTCACTACTTTGGAAACAAAAAAGTGTTAACACTAGCTACCCATGAGCAATGAGCAAAGATGCACTGGATTGTTTTCAAGTGAACTGGGAAAAAATCATGTACTTTGGGAGCCTTGTTTCTCACTAAGGCCTTTTCTTGATGTAGTGTGTAGTGTACAATATTTCCAAGAAGTCACCGCACCAGAAAATCTCTGCAGTCTGCTTCCCTTTTTGGATAACATCAGGTATTGTAGATCTCAATTTAGAGGTCTGTCGCCATTCCTCAACCCACAATCCATCATTCTGGGCCTGTGTGGTTTCTGTACTCACAGATATGAATTAAATACCTGAGAAAACAGGCTAGTGAAGTACCAGTACTTAACTATCTTCTGGTGTCTTCATGAGGACCAGTCATGTGTCTGTGCATACATACACACACTCACTCAGATAAATGTCCCTGACTGGATGTGCTAATCAATGGATTTGGAGTTGATTTCCATATACATTTCACACACTAAACTCTATGTGAAATTCTTTTCCTTCTGCTTTTCTGGTTTTGTAAGGAATTGGCGATGTGGTACATACATGCACGTTCACAGAAACTACCAAAAATCACTTGCTGGACAGGATTCCTGATCAGCCCGCTTAGAGGGGATATTCTCATGTTTGCTTAGGACCCTGTCCATGAGTTTTCGGATATTTCACATCTTCTCTCCACCCCCCCCCCCAATTGCATGTACTTAGTGTGGCTCTACATTAGGTGCTCACCAGTAGAAGTCAGTTTACAATAAATCTATGTAGGAGTGCCATACCAGCCAAAAAATGCCAAGAAGTGGAATTCCTTGTGTTGAAGCAACAGTGAAACTTGAGTGTGTACAGACTATTTCTTTACAGGCTAGTAAAAGGTAGATTACAGGGACGCGGGTGGCACTGTGCGTTAAACCACAGAGCCTAGGACTTGCCGATCAGAAGGTTGGCGGTTCAAATCCCCGTGACGGGGTGAGCTCCCATTGCTCGGTCCCTGCTTCTGCCAACCTAGCAGTTCGAAAGCACGTCAAAGTGCAAGTAGATAAAATGATAAATAGGTACCACTCCGGCGGGAAGGTAAATGGTGTTTTCGTGCGCTGCTCTGGTTCTCCAGAAACGGCTTAGCCATGCTGGCCACATGACCCGGAAGCTGTACGCCGGCTCCCTCGACCAATAAAGCGAGATACGTGCTGCAGCCCCAGAGTCGGTCACGACTGGAGCTAATGGTCAGGGGTCCCTTTACCTTTACCTTTTCAAAGGTAGATTAAGCATTCCAGGGAAGGGCATTCTCTTGACATATTGCAAAAAAAATATTGCTGTTCTCAGGATTCTAACTGTTTTGATAGATGGGGCAGGTCCATCTGCTATTCATTCCCATCCTCCCTGTGCTATTGGGACTGTTTGTGCTAGGGTGCTCATGTGTGTCCAGCTTTACAGAGGTTTTTGAAGGGTAGTCAGAGGGCAGTCCCCTGCTTGAAAGTGTCATCATTATAAGGGCTGCCCAGTCCAAGGCCGTGTACAAAGCATACATTTAAAAGAGCCCCCCCCCCCAAAAAAAAAAGAATCCTGGAAATTGTAGTTTACCTCTCACAGAGCTAAAATTTATAGGGCCCTTGACAAACTACAGTTCCTAGGATTCTTTGGAGAGAATGTGTTTTAAATGTTTGAACACCGTCCTCTTTCTTTTAGAATGGCAATGGTGCCCACCTGAGAAGTTCCGGAACTGACTTCCGGTGACTTTTGGCTGGGGGGAAAAAAGCCCTGGTTATGTCCCTCATTTACTTTTTCCTTTCAAATTCATTTTGCACGTATTTACTCTTCCCCTGCACCATTTTGAATGCGCTGACTTTATGTATTTATTGTTTATGTGTTTCCTTTTGACTCCAAATGGGATTCCATGCCAATTCCCGGTGTTTCATGGGACCCTGAAAGATCCAGGGTTCACGAATCGCTTTTATCTAGTGCATTTCCCACTCAATCCTGCCAGTCTTTGCTGGGAAGCTGGTCATATGCAGTTCCAAATTGGCAGGTTGCGAGTTGAAACCAAGTTTCAAGGACCACATCTCAACACATGAGCCTACTTGGACCCTGAGATCATCATCTGAGGCCCTTCTTCATGTGTCTTCTCTGCAAGAGGTCTGGAGGGTAGCAACACGAGAACAGGCCTTTTCTGCAGTGGCCCCTGCCTGTGGAATGCTCTCCCCAGGGTGGTTTGCCTGGCACCTTCATTATACCCCTTTAGGGTCCAGGCTAAAACATTCTTCTTCAACCAGGCTTTGGGTTGACTGACATCTAATGCCCATTTAAATGTGTTGTGGGAGGGGTGATTATTGGTTTGTTTTTGTTCCTGTTTCTAATTTGTGTTTTGTGTTTTTTATATTGTAATTTTATGTTGTGAACTGCCCTGAGATCTACGGATAAAGGACAGTAAACACATAATAATAATAATAATAATAATAATAATAATAATAATAATAATAGAAAAGCTGAATTAGAGCAAGGTTGCTTTTGACTGAGGCCATTTTAGGCCAGTTCTAGAGCTCCTAGCCTCCTAGCCTTTATTTTTTATTTTTTATAAAATATTTATTAAAGTTTAGACATTACAAAAAAAAAAGAGAAGTAAAACAAAAGAAAAATATAAGCAATAAACAATTGCAAAGCCTCAAAAACAAAAATAAATACAGTAGTACAAAGCATCAACAATACAGAAAAGGGGGAAAAAGGGGGGGAAAGCCTTTAAAAAAAACCCCAAAAGAGAACAAACCAACATACAAAAGAACCCCATATTTTCATATCCTTATCTTTCATTTGCTTATTTCTTCGACTTCCTCACACCTCCTTTTTTGTATTCTAGTTCAATTAATTATTCCAGGAAGTCCTTTCCCTCTTTCACAAAATTAGTTCCATAATTTAACGCAATTTTAGACTTAAATTTACATCTTTACCCAATGTCAATCTATTCATACTTAATTCTTTATAATATTTCTACTAAAGTCATATAACTTCTTTCCAGCATCCTTCTACTCAAGGAATTCTTTATACAGTGGTGCCCTGCAAGACGAATGCCTCGCAAGACGAAAAACTCGCTAGACGAAAGGGTTTTCTGTTTTTTGAGTCGTTCCGCAAGATGAATTTCCCTATGGGCTTGCTTCGCAAGACGAAACGTCTTGCGAGTTCTTGCGAGTTTGTTTCCTTTTTCTTAAAGCCACTAAGCCGTTAATAGCCACTAAGCCGCTAATAGCCGCTAAGCCGCTAATAGCCGTGCTTTGCAAGAAGAAAACACCGCAAGACGAAGAGACTAGCGGAACAGATTAATTTCGTCTTGCGAGGCACCACTGTACAAGGGGTTGGGAAAACTGTTCCTGCTAGAGGGCCACATTGACTTGCGAGGCAACCTTTCAGGGGCCGCATGCCCATGATAAAAATGGGTGGAGCAACTAGTGTTAATTTAAACTTTGCACAGAAGAGATTGCTTCAGCACACACTTGCTCATCCTCCCTTATTCAGGTAAGCAAGAAGCATTATCGGAGTTCAGGGACACATTTTAGCCAGGTGAAAACACTAGAGGGTCCACAACAGGGGTGCTGAGGCCTGGGGTGATTCCTGAGGGTCAGACAGAGACCCAGAGGGCTGATTTCAGCCTCTGAATCCCAGGTCCGCCAACCCTGATTTACACCAAAGCAGACCATAACCCAACACTGCATGCTCAGGCCGGCAGCAGGTGTGCAAGGTCTTCAACAGAAGCCTTTCCCTGCTTTTAACATCTTTTTAACTGTCAACTGAGGACTGGACTTCACCAGAAAGCTACAGTCTCATGTTTCTCTCATCCTCTCAGGTTAACCTTTATATCGACTGGATTTCCAGTGTGTTTTGACAACATTATCTAACGTGTTTTTAAAAAAAGTAGGCGCAGGAAAGCTTTTGCTACCTGTACGAAAACATCCAGGGTTGTTGCCAAAGGTGCTGGCTAAAGAATAGCTTTACATCTGTCTTAAAGCGAGTAATCTTTGCCTCAGTACTGTAACATTCCTGGCAGCATTTTTCCTTTGCACTGAATTGGCTGCTAACTTGTACTGCTCCTCGAACAACAGCTTCCGTGGACTCTACCTTTTATGTTACTGATGAAGAATATATATTGGTCGTTCTTATCTGCACTGTCACGTACATGCTGCTTCATGTAAGCTCCACAGGGGAGAAATAAAGGGAGATCATCTGCATTCTCTGTTTCTTTTTCTGCTTTCCACTCTGCCATCAGTGATATTAGGATATTGTCTGCAAAAAGAGCTGGGTGTGTGTGTGTGTGATTGTGCACCACTTGGTGACTGGTAGCTGAATGTGCGAGCTATCGAAAAGTATTTTTATCTGAGACATTCAGGCAAACCGATCTGTATAAAGAGACCAGATTTCAGACAGTTGCCCATCTTTCTTGTGTTTATGGAAGCAGAGATGTACCTAGGCTCCCTTACGCTCTTGGCAAGTTGCTGTGTTGGTGCCTCCAGAGCTGGGAGACACCATGGATTAGAAACTCTAAAAGTTAGCTTTTGTCGGCTTTCGTGCTCCGCCAATGACTTCCTTCATGGTCATTGGGGTCTGCCTTGCTTCTCCTCCATTGGTCCATCTGTCTGCCTGTCTTGACCACTGGGTGTGGAACACACTTCCACCTGCAGACAAGCCTCAGCTGTCTGACCACGTGACCTTCGGGTGTGGAGCACACTTCCACCCGCAGGCAAGCCACAGCTATCTGAACATCATGCCCTCTGTCTAACCTTTGCTCTCTTAGTGGTCTGCCATGCCCTGTCTGTGACCTTTGTCTCCTTCGTCATGCATTGTGCAAGGGGAAAGTGACGCGGTGGAAACAGGTGCCAAAATAACTTTGTACCACCCCCCACGATCTCGGGATTGGAAGATGTGTAAAGGTCGCAGTCCAAAATGTATCTGACTGGTTTTGCATATTGTGCTAATAAAAAGAGCCTCGGCAGAGCTAGCTGGCAGCTTGCTTATGCACAGCTCACCTGCATTACGAACTCCCGCCTCATGCCTTCACTTCACTTCCTTTTTCCTCCTGCAACTCTTACCTGCTCCCTCTTTCTTCCCTCTCCAGGAGCCTGCATACATCACCCAGCCTCCTAGAGCACCCTTGGGAGCATGCAGGCTCCTAGCCACTCCAAGCCCAAGTTGAGAAGTACAATTTTTCTGCCCCCCTGAGCCTGCACCCTTGGTGGGGACCAACCTCTAGGGGCACCCCTGTGTGGAAGGTCAACTCCTCATGTGCTGCCAGTTGAGTCCTCTGCCCACTGTACAACTGGGGAAGGAGGTGGGGAGAGATTTTGC